GAGGCCCTAATCAAAATCTCCGTGGGTGTTTACATTATTGAGGAACCCCCAGCAAGAAAGCTTCCCCCTACCCCACGTCTTTCAAACAGTGGTCACCCAACTTGCATCTCTATTATTCAGTTACTGCACTCCGTTCACGCACGCAAACAGAATTCTGTCATTTGATACAGCAGTGTCTTGCCTGGTTCCCTCTAAAGAAAACCAAACTCAACTCCAAAAACGGTTCATGACAGATTTTCCGCTAAATAAAACACTCAGTCGAAAAAGAAGCAATCGATAAAAGTTTCAAGAATTGGCATTTACTGCTGCTCCTACGCGAAACATTTTACATGAAGGAGAAGCTTAAAGAAACTCCGTCGCCTGTAGTCCGCAAGCGAACTATACCGACCGAGCGACCGCCACTTGTCGGCGAAGTTAGTGCCAAATCTAGCAGATAGAGGGTGTCGCGTTATCAGCGCAATAGATCCCCACGGCCGTTAATCTCGGTTTTCTGGACCAGAGAAGAGAAAGCTTACACGTGGAAATTATATTCCATAAAATGGTTCCCGACTGTTTTTTTCTTACTATTTTCAAATAGACAGAAATTAGGGAAACACATCGTATATTAAAAGACAATTGCAATGTCTCACACGTCACAGAACTTAAGAGTAAAAAACCAGAAAACTGTAACGTTCTTAACTACTTGTATTTGTACCTGCAGTTCATATAACCATGCCATCAGCAGCACAGCCTGTACACCAGTTAATGACTGGTGAGGTAAAGTTGTCCCTGTGCTTAAATAATTAAGCACTACTCCATGAAGACTTATGGAGGAGTGGATGTATAGGCACAGATTTGACCTTGGTACCAGTTGGTGAGTGGTTAGCTTCACGCCCGGCCGCTCTACCCCCGGGGAAAGAGGTTGGAGGTTGGGTGGACATCAGATCTGGTCTGAACGATGTGAAGAAGAGAAAAATCTTTATCCTACCGGGACTCGAACTCCGACCCCTCGGTAGTCCAGCCCGTCGATAGTCGCTATACCGACTGCGCTACTCCACGTAGCACTTCTAAACGTCAGTTAACATGCAACGGACATCATGGTGGCGTCACATCCCAGAACTCTTCATAAACACCGCCGTGAGAACGTCAGATGTCACTTTCGATTAGTTTCTCACGGAACTACGAGAAAGAGAGAGAGGTTATTTTTATTGCTAGTGGGGTGGGACTAAGTCCCTTGTACTGCGGCCACTTCTCGTCTATTGTACCAGCCCCAGATGATAGGTGAGGGTGATTGTGGAGCAATTGGTGGAATGAAGATTGGCAGGGGAAACCGAAGTACTCTGAGAAAACCTACCCCAGCGCCACTTTGTCCACCACAAATNCCTGTAGTCCGTAAGCGAACTATACCGACCGAGCGACCGCCACTTGTCGGCGAAGTTAGTGCCAAATCTAGCAGATAGAGGGTGTCGCGTTGTCAGCGCAACAGATCCCCACGGCTGTTAATCTCGGTTTTCTGGACCAGAGAAGAGAAAGCTTACACGTGGAAATCATATTCCATAAAATGGTTCCCGACTGTTTTTTTCTTACTATTTTCAAACAGACAGAAATTAGGGAAACACATCGTATATTAAAAGACAATTGCAATGTCTCACACGTCACAGAACTTAACAGTAAGAAACCAGAAAACTCTTAACGTTCTTAACTACGTGTATTTGTATCTGCAATTCATTTAACCATGTCATCAACAGCACAGCCTGTACACCAGCGAATGACTGGTGAGGCAAAGTTGTCCCTGGGCTTAATTAATTAAGTACTACGCCATGCAGACTTATGGAGTGGATGTATAGGTACACATTTGACCTCGGTACTAGTTTGTGAGTTGTCAGCTTCACGCCCGGCCGCTCTACCCCCGGGGAAAGAGGTTGGAGGTTGGGTGGACACCAGATCTGGTCTGAATGATGTGAAGAAGAGAAAAATCTTTATCCTACCGGGACTCGAACTCCGACCCTTCGGTAGTCCAGCCCGTCGCTGAATTCTTATATATTATTCTTATACACTGCCGGTCACAGTAGCCGAGCGATCTGAGGCATGCTCGGAAGCCGGGATCGTGGGTTCGAATCGCACTCAAGGCAAGGATGTTTGTGTGCGTTCATTCTGTTTGTGTTGTTCTATGCATAGGTAGCGGCCTTGCGACGGGCTGATCCCCCGTCCAAGGATTCCTTCTNATACGCGACAATATATATATATATAGGTAGATAGAGAGATATATAGACAGATAGATAATTCGTTAGGATCTATAGATATATAATATTTTCATGCTGCGATCACGGAAGAACCTCACCTTATTTTAAAAATTTAAGATCTGTATAATCCATTTATATTAAGACAATAGTGTTACAAGAGATTGGACAAATGTTCGTAGCTCGTTGCTAGGCAACAGTCAGCGAGCCAATGACTGGCGAGATAGCTATCACGTGACTTGTTTTCTGTGTGGTCTGCTCTACGCAATAGTAGATCTGTGTTTTCTGTGCGTGGTCCGTGCCGAGAGGATATGAGAGAATACGGGAATGGGAATTGACTTCACTTGAGCTCCGAAGCTCCAAGGGAACAGCAGTGTGGCCAGAAGAAGAATTAGAAGACTTAGTGTGTGACGTTACATGTGCTGTAGTTACAGTAATCTTGAGAGTGTAAGAACTAATTGTAGTTACGACAAGTGAAGATCCAATAAACCAATCCAAACTCGCGTCTTAGTCACTGAAACATGTGAAATTATTAAATACAAATTATTAAACTTTCCGGGGAAAAAAAGGTTCTTAAAAAACCTAGAATATAAGGACGGCGGACTGTCATTTTTTGCTGTTCCCTATTCGAGGTAATTGACCAAAGGGATGGATCGTTAGTGCGTGAGGTTCGCGGGACTCGTCCCATGGGACAGCAGTCATCTTGCGATGCGCTGCGAGATTTAGACGGTTCTTGTTCTCTGCGTACAGCCCAAGTTGCAATGTTTGTTTTTCTTTCTTTCCATGTGATCGCTGCCAGTTTCGTGTTTCGAAATAAGGCTGTTTTTGTAAATAACGGACGCCCCAATTTCCGCAATTACGTTATGTGCCCGAGAAGGAGAGGCGAACACTACGCGTCCCATTTCGTCTGCCACACACACACACAAACGGAAGCAACAAACTCAGTGTACGCATGCGCAGTATTCTGCACTGATTTATTCATATCCCTCATATTCACGATGCTGAATGTACTTAGACGTTTCTAAACAGCGAGTTCGTGTCCCGTTTTCATATTTCTTGAGTAGATATAAATATATAAATATNTAAACACTAAGCCATGAAGGAGTATGGTGGAGTGGATTTATAGAGCCACATTTTCTTGACGTCGGGACTAGCTGGAGGTGAATGGTCAGCTTCATGCCCCGGCCGCTTTACCCCCGGTACCCACTGAATAAGTTGAGTGGACCCCAGAGCCGGTCTGGACGACGTGGAGAAGAGAAAATTCTTGACACTATCGGGACTCAAACACCGACCCCTTGGTCGTCTAACCCATAGCCAGTCGCTATACCGACTGAGCTACATCGGCTCAAATTTTTTGTCGGTAAACAGATTAAAAGTTCACAGGACTGGAAACTAAATAAACTATGAGAAGTTGAACTTAACCGGAGCTTCTAGGAACTTAATTTGAAAACGGACCGCACAGTTAAAGTAAGTTTGTTTGAATTCTGTTATGGAAATAAGCGGTAGAACCGGTTCTAAGATTCAGCTGTAGCAAGAAACTGTTAAGTCTCTGCATTTGAGTATTTATTTGCAGGGACTTGGCGCCTGCAAGGTATGTACCTGGACCATTCTTCGAGACATAGCTACGTACCATCCCTTCGCGGAAATGCGTCACGCTGGGAAGGGCATACGTGGCCCTTCAGCCTGTGTTGGCGCGCTCCTGGATTCCCTTAACCCTTACAGAGTTGGTGCTTAAAAGTTACGCACAATTCTGTCCCAAATATTGCTAATTTCACGTACCATAAATCACGCTGCCTAAAATTAGATCTCGATAGTCTCCTTCCAGATCCTTGCTAATTCATTACTCACTACCAACTAATCATTCGACACTGTACTCTCCGCGTTATGAGTGTCGTTAAATAAACTACAAGAATAAGCATGTAGTTTTTTTAGTTTCTTGGGGTGGGTGAGACTGAGTCCACTTGGTGCCACTAACTGGCCTACTGTAACAGCCGCGGATGCTAGATGAGTGCCCCAGTGCCACTTTGTCCACCACAAATCCCACATGACCTGTCCTGAGCTCGAACCCGGGCAGCCGCGATGTGAAGACGGCGACTAACCGCTTAAGTTATGGAAAGGCACTAAATAAGCAAGTAAATATACTTATATGAGTACAAATATCAGACCAAGAACATGGAGAGTTAAAATACGATGCCTTCTTCAAGGAAATTCCGGGATGAAAATACTTTCTGTGACTTAACATCCAGATTACGATAATTTCACCGCTGCTCATCAATTAAATTTGTATGTTATTTGGTAGACTTATTTCTGACCATCATCAGTGGTCTGATTTAGGAGCTGCTTCAAAGAATACCAGAATGGGCTCTGGGAGTGACTTCGTAGAACTTTCCACAGCAGTGTTTCTCAATCGCCGGGCAGCGGTCTCACAAAGGTTGAGAACCACTGTTCCTCTTCATGAAGAATACAAAAGATATTAAGCCTGAATTCGTGTAGGATCACGTATCTACCTTCGGAAGACCTCAATACATACTACAGGACAATTGAATATTTCTCTGTTACAATACAGCAAGATGCTTCGAGAGGTACTTTCATGTCCTTCAAATTTTCTGTAAGAAATATGTTTTATTTTCTGGATGCAGGACTAACGCATAAAATTTGTTATAGGAACAATTCTAACGCGAATTTTCAATCCACCCAGTAACCCTCACTGTGTCTAGCAGCAGTAATGCACTGTTAGTAAGGAGAACAACAGAGACCCCAGAAACGGGGCACTGTACTCACCTGATCTTGGTCGTCGTACTCAACATTGCCGTTGGGAGTTGTCGCTGCGGAAGGGCGCTGGGACGTAGATAGGTTGATAGCACCGTCACCATCTGTTTCATGGTCCATCATGCATTCATCCTGAAACGGAGCGCGTAAACGGTGAACACCAAACACCACAAGATTGAGCACCGCCTCTGTGGTCTAGTGGTCGGAGTTCCTAGCTACAGATCCAGACGCCCCGGATTCGAATCCCGGTGCTACCGGATTTTCTGAGAAGTAGTGGGTCTGGAACGGGGTCCACTCAGCTTCGTGAAGATAATTGAGGAGCTATTTCAAGAAAATAGCGGCTCCGGTCTAGAAAACCGAAATTAACGGCCCTGGGGATCCGTTGCGCCCACCACGCGACAGCCTCTATCCGCTAAACTTGGCACTAATTTCGCCAATAAGAGGCGGTCGCTCCGTCGGTATAGTTCACTTGCGGACTACAGGCCATGGAGTTTGTTTTGTTCTTGTACTGCGGCCACTGTTTCGCTTATTGTACCATCCCGGACTACAGATGACTATGGAGCATTTGCTGGGATGAGAATTGGCGGGGGAAATCAAAGTACACGGAGAAAACCTACAGCAGTAACACTTATTCCACCACAAATCCCACATGACCAGACCTCGGCTCGAACTCAGGTCGCCGCGGTGGGAAACCATCAACTAATAGCCTGAGCTATGGCGCGGCCTAACGTTAACACTGAGCCTGTAACGTATGGGTGTCTGCCTTGTTCAAACAAACGAAAACGCCGTGGCCTGTAGTCCGCAAGTGAACTATACCGAACGAGCGACCGCCGCTTGTCGGCGAAGTAAGTGCCAACTTTAGCGGATAGAGGGTGCCGTGTGGTCAGCGTAACGGATTCCCAAGGCCGTTAATCTCGGTTTTATAGACCGGAGCCGCTGTTACCTTCAAATAGCTCCTCAATTATCCTCATGAGGCTGAGTGGACCCCGTTCCAAACACACTACTCAGAAAATCTGGTAGAGCCAGGAATCGAACCCGGACCTCTGGACCCGTAGCCAGGAACTCTGACCACTAGACCAATCACTCGCTATAAACGAGAGCTTAACGCTGATGGATAAGCCTGTATTTGAGATAGCGAACTTGCAATGCTACTACATATGCACGAAGTTTCGAATTGAACACAGTAGCACACATCATAAAATAAAACATGTGGATAACAAACAAAGTAGAGCTACACAAAATAACTAGACATAAACAACGACTACAGTGTCGAGTTAGGAATTGCTATCATTACATACACCGCTTAATGTTCATGGAATAATTGCTATTTTAGTGGCATAATTTTTAAATACCTGTGAGTTAAGTTTGTGATGGCAGTAACTATGAAGATGTATCACTGTTCTGGGTTATGACACCGTGTAGTCTGGTAAGTTTCTACAAAATTATGACTCCATATAATATTGTAGGTACTTCTAATACTTTTGCCGTGAACATAGAGGCAACACCTATCAGATTATAAAGAGTGAAATCCCAGAAGACAATTATCTTCATGTCCCACATCACTTAATAAAAATTTGCCTCAAATGACTTCTGCCAAAATTTTCTACCTTAGAAAAAAGAACTATGAACTCTGACATATTCTTCATTCATTTCAACCATGAATGGCTCTTCAGCCCCTTGTTGGGCCATGGCCACTTCTTCAATTTCGTAATCTTTTTTTACACAGTCGGTAGTTGTGACAACGATCAGCTGTTGTGTATATCCGTGAGTTAACATCTGTAGGTGGCCGTGACATAGCTCAGGCTGTTAGTTAGTTAGTTAGTTATTGGAGAGGGTGGGTTTCCCCATGCACTTAGACCAGTATTGGTCCATTGTGCTTCCCTCTATGATATTCTACCAGTCTCTATACC